AGAAGAACCGTCGCCCGTTCCACCACCCAAGAAGCAGAGAACTGAAGAGAAACCTAGCCCTTCTACAAGTCATGCGACGGTACCGATAAGAAGAAATGAAAAAGTTCAGATTCCAGCATTTAAGAAATACAAGAAAGCAACGCTGCGCGTAAAGAGGAAAAGACCAGTTACAACGTATCGCAGTAGAAATTCTGCATCGAGGAAAACGCTTCCAGGGCCAGAGAGTTAGGTGCGAACAAGGCCGCCGTTCCCGAGAACGAAAAGACAGCAAGAGGAACGAAAAGACCACCACCAACAGAAGAAATTCAGGCATGATTCCAGACCGGAGAACGCCAAGACCAGCTGTCCAAGCGCAAAACGGAAAAGACAGCAACCCGACGACTACCACTCCAAGAGGCCAGCATACAGAGGGCGAAAAAGAAAAAAACAACATGGATGAAACTCGAAGGACACAAAGGAGACGACTGACGTCAATGAATTCCATATCGTGGGAGCAGTTCTGCCAGAAGAGGATGTCGGAGTTCCAATCATCGAAAACTCAAAGATAAGTTAAAATCTTCTATAATTTTTTTTTTTTCTTTTGTTCCGAAATGTTATGCGTAAATACGAAGTTCTATGTTTTGACGGAAGTCAATTTGTGTCGGTTGAGACTTAGTTTTGTTTTACTTTATTTAGCTAAGGCAAAAGTATTATTTTCTTTAAGTACAAAATCTAAGAACAAGCAGTTTCTGTTGGTCGAAAGACTAATTCTGTTATGTTAAAGACAAAATTTGGCCGAAGATAAAAATAACTTCGTATTCTTGTATTAATAAGAATTTTAGTTTCAGTGCCGCCAGCTTGGCGAAGAATGAGTAAAGTAAAAATTTATTTTCTCTTATTCATTTTATGGTAAATTGTAAAAATCATATGTATTAAAATTTTGTAAATATACGTAAATACTTGAAAGTTATGTAAAAGTAGAATTTAGTCTAGAAGCATAAAATTTTAGATGCTAAAAGTAAATGCTTAAAAGCAATGAATTCAAAATTTAAGTATTAAACTGTAGATAAAATGATGCTTTAGAGCAAAAGCTTGCATGTCTAAAGATGAATGAGGGGGAAATTTAGAATGAATGTGTTTTGTAGGGTTCTCCACCTACACTTGAATTTTAAGAATGTTAAAATAGCTCATCGAGTTTTAGAATGTCGAGTAAGGTGTGTCTATTTGGTCGTTGAATTCTAACAAATCATTGTGGTTAGGGGAAGTGTTGCAATACTAAAACACGAATATTCCCGTTTGACACCACACATGGTGGAGAGCCAGGGTAAAGTTAAATTCATGTTTGAATACTTGAATGAATGTGAATTAAGCAGTAATTAAGGAAAATAAATCGATCAAAAACAAACTTTATTCAGTGTCAAGAAAGTGTAAATTATAATGTATTTAGAAAGATACTGATACTTATTCCTTCCAGATGCTGGAAGGAAGAGAACAGATTGATTGCTGAAGTCCAGGAAAGGTTGCTGTAAGAAGAGAGGGTTAAATAAGTATCTACAGAAATTTATTCTAACTTTTGTGAGAAAACAGTTTTTTTATGTAAACGAAGGCTCTTAAATTTTAGTTCAGAATCGTGGAAACTTTTCCACAGGTCGTTTCTAGGACCTGCTTCCAAGTTACCAAATTCTGGCAGCGGCAAATGTAGGGTTTATATTTATTTTAACTAACATTTATTTTAAGTTTAAACTATGTTTCCTGTCAAGCCTTACTTTCACCTCGAATTGCCAATGCCAGAGTATGTAAATTTTAGTAGAACGCGCAAAGTATTCAAAATAGTCAGCGGAAGTATTCTGAGTTAAATAGATGGGAAACGAGTTCGAAAGTGTGCTTTCTTGCTTCACAAGCGTGGAGGTGGCTAGGTAGAAATTGAAGAACCACGCGTTTCGGCCTGTGTGCTTGCCTCGGCACATAGTTAAATCTTTCAATGTAATATTCAGAAGTTTGCTGAATTATCAGTGGTATCTTAGAATGCGGTTAGGTTAGTTACGTTTAGAGAGCTTCGTAGGTAGTCACTTGTTATTATTCATTTTTAGTTTCTTATTTTTATTTTACCGCCGGGTCGGCGTAGTTTGTGAGCGTCAAGAGCACACATCTGTAATTTCTAAAGTTGAATAAAAAGGGATTTAAACCCTTCTCAAGACTTTGTGTACTTTCCAGTTCATAGAAGTCACCACTATCGGTGCGTGCAGGTTGGGGCCGCGCAACATTACAAGGTTATAAGAAGTTAAACTTTGAATTGTTAGGAAGGTTTCTACAATTTAAACTCTTAATAAGGTCCTTGTGAGACCTTTTTCTTCAAATAATTAAATTCTGGTAGGGAAAGATATAAGGTATATCTTAATTTTATAACAATTATTTTAAGTTTATAGCAGAAGTGGAGGCTTTGTTGTACACCCTGAGAAAAAGGCCATCTGTGAATCTTTATTTTGAGCAATAATGGGTAATTAACCTTTCTTGAGTTTATGTTTATGTTCTCGCACTTAAGCAATTATTTGCTTAGTTCTAGGTTCTTCAACACATGGCTAATAGATAAAAGGGAGGAACATTACATCCTTCTTGTACAGCATAGATACAATAACATGTATTGCCATTCTTATGTTACTTCCTTGTTCGATTTAAAATGCATTTTACTGAGATTATATATTTTTATTTTAACTATGCTTTATTGTATTATGTTTTGGAGGCCATTTTACTGGGAAAGGTGTAGGACATACACAGGAATATTGCTAAGAAGTAGCCTGCAATATATTTTTACCTTGATTTGTAAATTTATCAGCTATTTTGGGTTTTCATCCGCAGAGAACCCGTTGGCGCCGTTCCATTTTTACTCGCCAAGCTCACGTTTCAGCGACGATGAGGCGAGCCGTAAACGTGATTTTTAGTGCATGTAAATTCTAGTTAGCAGACTAAACAATATATTAAGCATATGGTAGTAAAAATTCACAGATAATAAGCATGTAGATGTAAAACTAACAGGTTAAACGTGATATACGGAAATAAATTGGTGTTAAATTTAAACAGAAATTAATTATTAAATTATTAACTTTTGTTATGAATTATGCTGATTATGATACTTCTCATTTTAACCTATGCCATTTGACATAAAATCAACCTGCTACTTACTAAACCTTAAACCGCTAGCCTGACCAAGTATGTGACATTATGAGACATAAAAAAAAGTTACATAAAGTTAGTAAAATGTAAATGTCACTTCTTTCAAATATGCCCAACTATTATAAGAGTAAAATATTTAATGCTACTTGATCAATTACTTAAAGTTTATTTCATTTTCAAATTTATTAATAATCATGTTAATTCATGTTTAGTAATAATACATACTACTTATGGATCTATTTTATTTTTAGGATGGTATTACAAATGTGAAATGCAGGCATCGCTAATATTTTTAATTGAATTTATTCAGTTCGCATTTACTCATAGGTCCTGAATTTTTTTTCATTAATGGTCCTTAATTTCTGTGTGCAGAAATGTGTCTTCCTCTGAAAGGTTATTGTAAGAAAAGCATTAACAATATATTGTTACAATTTTACGCCATAAAAATTGATTTATTATCATAATTTCAGTTGACAATAAACAATAATAAAAATAAAAGCATTACTTAATTATTTAAAATGCACATTTTTGCAGAGTACGAAAACGAATTATTTGAGCGTTTCGAAACCTCATGGTTCTGCGTGCGTACAGCTGTTAATAATTAAGAACACAACGTGAAGAGCCGTGTTACAAATTAGCATTCACCCCTCCCGCTTTATTTTCTTCCTTTCATCCCGAATCGAGAACCGAAATCTATCTATTCGTTGTTAAAAAATTAAGAAAAAAAAAGTAATAAATAAAAGAAGAATAATAGAAATCTGCAAATGGGAAGAACCACAGTGATAACGGAACAAAATGGACGCAAGATGAATGGTTGCAACAAGCGGATAGGTTGAATCCGCTGGGTTACCAGATTTTAACTATTATCGCCAAATTTGGCAATGTTTACATTCACCGGGTTCTCTCCGGAAGTGCTTCCGCTATTTTTTTAATTTTTCATTTTTTTCCCTATTTTCATTTCAAACACATGTTCTAAACTTGTATTTTTTATTTTACTGCTTAAAACATGTATTCTTAACTTTTATTTTCAATATTACTCTTTAAAACACTTTTCTTGGCTTTGAAAACAGGCTTTTGCATGGCTTGGTTATAGGGTTTCCCTTAATTCAATTAAGCAGTTATTCAAATTTTTTTTATCTTTTCTGAAGTCCTTCCCCACGTATTTCCTAACCAGGATGCAAATTTAAAGTTAAGTGAGTATTTAAGTGGGTGAATCTTGGGAGTTTATTCAGACCCTGTTTTTGCTAGGCAGTACACATTGCAAGTCTATCCTTGATGTTACGTCATTTTGAATATTTAAATATTTAGCATGTTGAGTGGGTTGTTGAGTCAACCTAGTTAGCCTTAACTTAAAAGTGTTAGTCCAGCACTATGTTTTAGCATCAAATTTATTGTGTAACAATTCTTAAGTTCCACTGCAAGTTGTCAGTCAGTGTTATTGTAAGCATAAAATATGTGCCTTTTTCTGTTCAGAGTTTGAATAATAAAGAGTTATTTTTACCCTTCTGTGCTGGTTTTCGTTACGGCTGTGCGAGAAGTTGCCAGGTTCGTTAGTAGAGTTTATGTGGCCAGAGTAAACAAACATACATAGTGACTTTTCGTTAGTGACAAGACACAACACTGAACACTCATGTCATAACAGAATAAATTTTTGAAGAGCATGGGGGAAAATGAGTTAAAATGTATATGAATGAAATCTGTTTCAGATTCATGCTTATGTCAACTAATGGTCATCAGCGTGATCTTATAAGTAAGCTGTTTTATTTAAGTCAAAATCTTCAAGGGGGGACATATAATTTCAGGAATATTATTTAACCTTTTTATAAAAATAAATAAATGATTGAACATACCACTCTCCAGTTCCTTTTTACATAGTTTTTAAAAGTAATAGCACCAGCTATTCTTATGGTTACATCAACATCAGATTTGTCAACTAAAGTTAACAGAAGAACAGGATAATTCTGATTTGCTTCTACAGACTCTAGAAATTTTTCAGCTGTAAAAGAAAATTAAAGACAAAATTTGAAATACTAAGACAGCAAAGAATCCTTGGAAAACAAATATAACATGCTATTTTTAAAAAAACCATAAAAAATAAAATTAAAAAAATCTGTTAACCAAGTTGCATAAAGAAAGCACTAAATTACTAATATTCATTAAAAACTACACAAAAACAAATAAAAATGCTATGATATAACTTACCAGGTCGCCGTACTGAAGGATTGGGATTCAAAGTTTGCTGCAAGTATCCCACTAATGTGTTTAGGTTGTTCTCATTCACTTCCATTCTAAATATACAAACAGAGGGGAGGGGAAAATCTTATTTAAAAAAAAACTACTTTTTATAAATTCTATTAATAGTACTTTCATCTAAAATTATACACCCATTTATTCCCATGAACTGACTTCTAACAAATAATAATATATTTTTTTTAAAAAGAACAAATTATCATCTAAGATACAACAGAATACTAAAAAGATATCTTCTGCACTTCATATGTCATTAAATGTCAAAGAGGAAACCGCAGTCAATTAAAAGAAATAACATATATCTACATTTAATTATTAAAAGGTACACGTTATCTTCAATAAAATGTATGGCCAATTTTACATAATATACAAACAACTAGAGTAAAATGGTATGATGCCTAAGCATCTAATCTTGAAATTAACTTGGTCGAACATTATGCACTTAAGCTTATATATACATTCAGGACTGAACAGAATAATATTGAGATTTTACAGTCACAAAATGCAAAAGTATAGATCTGTAAATTTAAAATAAGAAATGTAGCATCTTGCTCGTTGTCAATAACTCCACTATTATCAAACTGACATATAGCAAATAATATTGAATGTTATTTTAATACACTTACAAAATCATACGACAACTACTTATTATTCTCCCACAGTAATAATTAAGCTGTAATTTTTCTGAGGTTCAATATTTTCAACTATGCAGAAATTGCCCATAAAACTATCATATTGGCTTGAATATTAAATGTTTCTCTACAATCTTAGATATACAGCTTGATATTTAGAAATATATATTATGTTAGTTTATATATTAAATTGTTAGTAAAATATATATTATAATGTTAAATACAAATTGCACATAAAATGTTTCACTAGAAATCACATTCTAGAATCTTAGATGCACAGCTTGATATTTAAAAATACATACTATGTTAGTTTATCATTTATTTTTAACTTTTATGCTGTTTACTCAGTTAACTAACATATTTATTTTGGCAAATCTACATGTGTGCGGGCATTCTGTTAACGAGACAAGTGATTTCAGTAATGGTAGGTATGAAGAGAAATGATAATTGTCATGGAATATACTACCATACACCACATTCAGTCACTGGAAATTATGGCAGGATTTGATATTAAGAGGAAAGGGAAAACAGTGGTTTAATTGATCGCTGATTTTGTTCACAGGTTAGCTCATCATGCCTACAACAAGCACTGTCGGTAAACTCATACACTGCTGCCAGTATTATGCAAATAGACATTGCCATCATGTACAATGCATTACATGTGGTAAATTTAAAAGCACCAAACCAAGGTTACACAGAAAGCAAGTTATTACAGGTTCACTGTAACGTTTGAACAGGAATACTTGGCGACTATCTGTTAGGGCATCTTCTACATAGCATCTCAATGCCACTCTGTAAGTTAGTTTTCTGAAGTATATCCTCATTAACATGATTTTGAATCAACATACACCTTAAGCAAAGCAAACCTTGATGTCCTTCATATACCTTTACTAGTTAATTAACTGTGGTCAGATAGCCTTAATTGCGATTAAGAAGAAAACAAAACCAAATTTATTAAATTATACTAAAAAGTTCATAATCATGGAAAATTCGAAGAATTTTTACAAATGGTCGGATATTCTGCGTCATCATTTGGACAGCCTTCGCAAAAAATATCACAACACGCGACTACAAAAGAAATTGAGAATAATTTTGTCAACAAATGTGTAAAGCAAAACAGGAAGATTACAATTAATTTGGTAGTTTTTACTATAACTCTTATAGTAAAAACTTTACAAATCATAATCATTTATCTTAATACAATACATTAATAATTAAACAAAATTTAGCGAATCAATATTTTAGTTATCTCATAGCGTAGACCATACAAAGTACCAGAAGCCGGTTAAGACATGTCGATATTTAAAAGGAATAAGATATATGTATTTTAAATTTTAAAAGTAATTATTACATACTTTAGTAGTTAATACGGATGAAGCTTAATGGAAAAGAACACTGAATGTAATTCTAAATAAAGCAGAATGAACAACAGTTAAATGTTAACATTTCAAATGCAATCCACGATGAAAGAATAGGACAGTTGCGGTTAAAGATGATCATAGTCTGTCTTTCTAGATTTATTTTTCTTTTAAACCGCTGAGCACAACTATTAAATTCATTTGCTTAAAGTTAATAAAAATTAAAAGCATAAAAAGAAATGCATTCACTTTTGAAATTTGAAAGACCGTCTATTGCGAAGAAAAAACTAATTTTGTGCGTTCTTTCTAACATTATCTCCAGAAACTCGGAATAAAAACACAAAGAATGTCTAAACACAAAGAATACATATTCTTTGACAAACACTCTTTTCTCATTCCATGATGCACTGTTTTAGTGTTTTTTAAACCAAGGGGTCAGACTAGAAGGTAAGATTAAAACTTCTAAGATTGAAGAACTCTTCAGAAAACAGGCTTTTATAGCTCTTATGAATAGTATTTTTCCTTGCCACATAACATGACTCGGTAGAGTTTGTGTATTGAAAATGGCCTGTGATCGTAGTTTTCCAATAGTTGTACACATCAAATCGACGAGAACCGTCAGATATGAAAGATGCTATAAATCGTGAAGTTATACAGACTCTTTCTGCGATATTACTTTCGTCATCGTTGTCAATGATCTCCTGCATGCAATGTGTTAAAGTGTACGGAGGTGTTCACTTTGAAACCATATAATTCCAAAGTTGTTTTCCCTCTTTTTTCATGAATTGTCATTAGTCATTTAAGGATATTGTTCGGACAATAGCCTTAACAATATCAAACCTTAGCCTTAACAATAAAAAAGAAAGGATAGGCCTTTTAGCCTATCCTTTCTTTTTTAGCTCACAATGCTGCCTGGTTGGTTGAGAGAACATTCCTCCGCTTAGCATCCGCCTCTGTTTAACGATCTGTTAACTGGATAGTTTTGGAAATAACCGCCAACTGTTTTGGTATTGTTGTGATAATTATCTTACTTTTTAATAATGATTTCTGTCTGTTTATCATTTATTGGTTGAATTTAGATTAAGCGTAAAAAGATGGCTCAATTTCGACATACTGCCAGAGAGTTAGTGATCACGTATGTGAAAAGTGATGGTAATTTGTTGAAGTTTTGGGCTTTACCAGCCACAGCATTGGAAGTGGTAAAAAATTTGGAAAACCATTATGCAAAGGTGGCTAGTGAACATGATAAAATGTCGGGTTATATGCGTAACTCTCAAACGCCTGTGGGAATGAAATTAAGTGTTAAATCAAAAATTAAAAGACAGTGGTGTAGAGCACGTGTCTTGGATCATTCAGGATACACAGACATTTTAGTGCAGTTAATGGACTACGGTAATGAAGAAAAAATTTCTGTTACGGATGCAAGAAGAATCGAAGATAGACTAATATCAATTGAACCGCAGGCTGTTGAGTGCATTCTGGCAGATGTTGTGCCTCCTGGTACCTCTGAATGGCCGCCTGAAGCGGTCGAATTTTGTGAGTCACATTTATTATATCAGACTTTATCTTGTTATGTTGTGTCAAGCTATTTGAATACACCAGTCGTGCGTGTAGCGAAAGGTGGTGAAAGTGAACCCTTTGTACAGAGACTTATTAACAGTGGCTTGGCTTTGATTAAACAGGAAAAACCCGTTCCTCCAGCTGTATCATATAAAGTTAATACTATGGATGCGAATACTGCACACCTTGTTAAAGTTTCCCATGTTGAAAGTATCCGTAATTTCTACGTGCAACTTGCTGCAGCTGAAGTGGAGCTGCAGCGATTGATGGATGCCATTCAAAAATATGTTGCGCAGGAAAGTTTAGCATTAGTAAATGTTCCTCGTGATTCAGCTGCTTGTTTGGCTGAGTCAGATCATTTATATCGCCGAGCACGTATACTCTCAGTATTACAAGGTAAATGTAAAATATTTTATGTTGATTATGGCTATACAGAAACAAAAGAATTTCAAGAGTTAAGAGCTATACCGCAGTTTTTCATGACACTTCCTGCTCAAGCAATTTGTTGTTCATTGTCTAGTGATGACCGAGAAGAACTGAGACTAGTTACTAAGGGTTACCACCTTCAGTGCTTTGTTCTTGGATATAATGGAGATAAATGTATAGTCAGTGTGAGACGACATGGACAAGACATTATTACTCCACGCCGCATTTCTCCACAAATGCCAGTCTATTCAGTAACATACAGAAAACAAAAATTGAATCTTGGATCTAGCATTGAAGTAACAGTAAGTTCAATAACTGACATTACTGAGTTCTATTGTCAGTTGTTATGTTTCAAAGATCAGCTAGAAGCTATCACATTTAAATTGAATTCTGGATATATTTTTGAATCTTTGCATATTAATGAGTGTATCCCTGGCCAAGCAATTTGTGTGAAATTTCATAATAAAATATGGTACCGGGCTGAAATACTCAAAGTAAATCATGAGCAGGATATTGAAGTCTTGTTTGTAGATATTGGTAATTACGAGAAAGTCAGTTTAGCAAATATTCGAAAGTTGAATTTAGAATTATTGAATTTTCCATGTCAAGCATACAAATGTTGTCCATATGAAACGGGAAATATTTTGAACGGTGTGCCGAAAGAAGAAGTACTTTCTTTGTTTCAAGAATTGACTTTAGGGAAAAATCTAAAAGCTCAAGTGCAAGCACTTACTGAAGATAACAGTTACGTTATAACATTATATGAAATGGATTCAAATATTTCAGTTTTTCAAAAAATGGAGTCCAAAATTTTATCTGCTAGTACAGTTCCTGTGTCTGATGTAGAAAATCTTTTTGTTACAAGTTTCACTTCACCTAGTTTATTCTTTGCTCAATTTGAAAAGCTTGATTCAAACTTGCTTAGTGAAATGCAAGAACAAATAAATGAATTATATGGCAGCAAAAGGAACCTCAAATACATTCCTATGGTAGGAAATTTGGTTTGTGCTAAATATGAGGAGGATAATCAATTTTACAGAGCCATAGTGATAAGTTTCAAAGGCTCTCAATTTGAGGTGTTCTTTATCGATTATGGAAATCGATGTATAGTTTCTTTGCATGATATACATCCCATAACAAAGGAATTCATTAAATTTCCTGCCTTTGGAATTGAGTGTTCTTTAGAATCTTACCCACCTGGTACTCCTGTTGATAAACTCTGTAGCTTAATGTTAGAAAATTCCATTCAAGCCAGAATGATTGCAGAAAAAGATAAGAAATGGCTTATAACGTTAACTGATGATTTTCCTAATAATGTAGCAATTTTAGAACTGTTAAGGCAGCATGAAAATGTTGTACCTCGTCCCATACATGGTAAGTACTAGTTATTTATTTTTTATTAATTATGAGTTATTAAGTAAATAATTGAAAAATATTGCTCAGATCTTGACAGTAGTTCTAAATTATATCTGAAGTATTTCCTTTTAAATCTTATATCGAATAACTGTATCTTCCTTTTTATCATTTTTTTTGGGGTGGGAGGGGGAAGAGTAAATTGGGCTGATCGCATTTCGGTAAAATCCTAGTATACGGTGCAGCCTTGGCGCGACTTTGAAAATTATCGCCATCACCAAAAATGATCCAAAGAACGTCTATATATATATGTATATACACACATAGTATATATACTATAGTATGTTTTAACTGTATATTTTCTTTGAATGACCCGTTAACTACTCATCATATATGTCCCGTTTTTACTGCTCATCATAAAGTCGCCAAAAGTAGCCAAATCCCGTGTGCACCGGATACTAAACCCACATTTCTATTAAAACAAAAACAGCATCAGAATGGCACAACTGGAACAAGATTTAATAATGCCAAAAAAGTAGAAAAAGTTTTGTGATTTAAGCATTTTGAGCATATCTTTATTCGTCAATAATGAAACATATATGAGAGCTTTAAGTAAATTATCGCCAAGGGGCACCCATAAATATATTTTTACCCAAATTGTACAGAAATTTTAAATTAATCTTACCACATTCAGCCATTTTACCATGTAGACCACAAAATAACAACGTACTTCTTATCCAAAATCCGACACATGCTTTCCAAATCTTTTTCCTTCATTCAAATTGACTGCAATCAAGCAACCAATTATGTCATAGTAGGGTTTCCATAACATTCAACTACTCAGGTTACCATAAATGAAACAACAACTTGGCAATGATCCAAGGGGTGCCCTTAAATCTACTCTAACTACATTATTTCGAACGAAAGGCTTAATTGACTGGTGTGTAAATGAAGGTTTACTTAGTAGCCATTATTAAGTGTCCTGTTTCTAGGAAGGAAATATATATGGTCGTATGGAGTATATTTTTGCGAATTTATTTGCTGATGCCAGTATGCAGATTCTAATTCAGATAATTTTAGAGAGTTTTTGGATGCTGTTAAGGAATTTTGTTTGTCTGAAGACACGTAAATTCATAAATAATGTAAGTGGATATTTCCTTTGTGTAGTTTTGTATTCAACATGAAAAAGTTGAATTTCTTTTATGTTATTTTTGTTTGATTTAAAATGTAGTTTATTGAGATTATATATTTTTAACAAAATTTGTTGCTGCACAAAGCCAAAATAACAAATCGAAGAATTTCACAAACTCAGTATCCATGTACAGCCAATTATCATCAAGGGGCACCCATAAATATATTTTTACCTAAATCAAACAATGAATAACATAAAAAAGGAAATGCTTCTTATTGCATTTACACACTATAAATATCCACATATCTTATTTAGAAATTTCTCCGTCTTCAGTCTGTGGCACACAAAATTCCTTAACAGCATCCAAAGACTATCTAAAATTATCTGACCGAGAATATGCATACTGCCGTCACCACATAGATTCACAAAATTAAGAGTAAAAAATATCCTCCGTAGTGTCGGACTGTCAGTGGCGGTTAATCTTTGGATTATGGTAACTTGGCGAATATTTGGCGACCAACCCTGCTACAGCAACCTGCTAGTTTTTGTTTGGATGCCATTTTGTTTTCACAAAGTAAAGGCTCAACATTTTTTTCCAACAATCTGCTAGCCGAATTACGCTTATGCTAGAACTTTTATGGAACGAAAGTGCTTAATCATGACGAAGATCAGGTGCGAAATTGGGACAAAGTGCAGAATCGCCCATTGCTTGCCGCGTTTTTAAGAAGTGCACATACATGGTATATCCATGTACACGTCGACCTATTTTCACTTAAAAAAACATCCCGGAATTGCACAAAAATGGCATTGCGCACACTCTTAATTTTATCCATGTACACTGCTAAAGTCCTAGCTAGTAACCTTTATTGCCTTTTTAAAATGTCACCAAACTACCTGTTACCATATTCCAAAGATTAGCCTCAGTGGCATTTCTTGCAAAAAACCCATTCGAAGCCATTTGAACGATTTTTATGTTCGACCATATACATTTCCTTTGTACGAATAGGACACTTATAATGGCTACTAAATAAACCTTCATTTACACACCAGTCAATTACTGCTTTTCTTTCTTTTTGTTCCAAATCGTACAGAAACTTTAATCTTCTCAACAGCCATTGTATTGTATAAAGCACGAAATAAGCAATGTACTTCCCAACCAACTCCAACACATAAGTAAGCTCTTACAAATATTTTCCCGTCTGTCAAATTCACTGCAGTCATGCAACCAATCATGCCATAATATAGTTTCCATGACATTCAACTACTCAGGTTACTATAAATGAAATAACAGTTTGGTGATAATCCAAGGGGTCACGCTAAAATATAGACTAACCTGAATTGCTTTGTTAATATTAACTGGCTGATTTTTTTGATACCTTCTAAATAGAACAATAATGCTCTTGCTAGAATTTATTTTAAATTTCCATAAATTACACTACTGATTTATGATGCTGATCCTGGGGTGTAAATTATCATCGATGGCATGTTGTGGCTTATGGGAACGAGACATAATGATAGTATCATTGGCATATTTTGCTGTTTTACACAGAAGTGGCTCCAGGAAGTAGTTTATATAGAGATTAAAAATAGTCTGTAAGTACTGATCTTTGGGCATTTCCAGCTTTGAGATATGTCTTTTTAGAGAGTTCTTTCCAACTCTGACCTGAAAAGTATGATTTTTAATATAAGAGCTGATTAATCTGATAAGTCCTTGAGGAATTCTCGGGTTTTCATCTTCAGAGAACCCGTTGGCGCCGTTGCATTTTTACTCGCCAAGCTCGCAGTCCATTGATGATGAGCCGAGTCGTAAACGTGATTTTTAGTGCATGTAAATTCAAATTAGCAGCCAAAACAATATATTACGCATATGGTAGTAAAAATTCACAGATAAAATGCATGTAGATGTAAAACCAACCGGTTAAACGTGATATACGAAAATAAATTTGTATTAAATTCAAGTTAGCACAGAAAAGAATATATTAAGCATAAGACAATATATAAGCATTTATAACGGAAATAAAAATTTATTTAAAAATATAAATTAGTATTAATGTACTGGGTTGATCTTTGGATTATGGTAACTTGGCGATTTTTTGGTGAAAATTTGGCAACCAACTTTGCTACAGCAACCCTCCGTTTTTTTTTTCGCCGGCATTTTGTCTTCACGAAGTAAAGACATGTTTCTTTTTTTTTTTATATACTCAACACTTTTTTCAACAATCTACTAGCCGAATTACACTTATGCTAGAAATTTTATGGAACAAAACTGCTTAATCATGACAAATATTAACTGCAAAATTGGGAAAAAGTGCAGTATCGCAAACTCCTTGCCGCATTTTTCAAAATCGCACATACACAGTAACCATGTACACGTCGACTTATTTTTACTTAAAAAAACATCCCAGAATTTCACAAAAATCGCATTGCGCACACTCTTGACTTTATCCATCTAAACTGCTATTTTCTCATAAATTACAAAAATTTGCACGAAAATGCAGGAAAATTTTGTGAATCTTTAAACTCGGTAAAAAGCACATATATGAAATTACCTGATCACGAAAAATTATATACCCTATCCAAGGACGAACATTTCCCCGTATAATATAAATAAAATATCCAAAAACTTTTACCTCTAAATTATCTATTATAAACGTCACCAACGAATGCATAACAAAACATTAAAAATGGTTACAAATACTTTGTGTTATCAGGTTCAATGTTCCTTCTAATCTTCTTCGGGAACATACAAGGACCTGACTAGGAACAGAGAGCTTACTAAAGCTATGTTCACTAATTGTAGTCAGTAGACAGGATACAGACGAAGGGTATGCAACTCCCTTTATTTTTCTTTATATACAATGACTTCCGTACTTCGGAATACAATGACCCTCCACTCGGGGTCTAACGCAAAAGATATCAAAATAAAACTAAACTCTAATTTAACTTTAGAATAATACACGACACGTGGAAGATTGGCCTTATAATAACAGGAAGCGTATGTATGTAGCACAGAGACTGTGAACACTACAATACGTTTAATTTATCAAGAGGATTAAAACCTCTGGCCTGGAAGGCAAATAGCAACTGCGTAATTTCTAAGGTAAGCGGCCTGCTTCGAACTCACTGCTTCCTCTCTCTCTCTCGCTTGGCAAAAAGCCACAACTTAAGTACTTGGTTCGCTTGGCAAAAAGCCCGACAAACTTTGCATAAATGCCATCAAAATCCTTCACACTTATAATTCTGGCTGGAAGTAGAAAATAAGAAGTGATAGTAAAGATTTAAAATAAAATAAACGTTAGTAAAACTTAAGATCCTTACATACTTCCCGCCAGAGTTAATTAGTTTGAAACTGAGGTCTAAAACGACCTTGTTGAAAACTTTTAGCTCTAGAATATAACGCGAGGCCAACCTTTTACTATCAACTTCGTTAGAAACTAGAAAATTTAAAAAAGAGAAGAAATTTGTTACAATAGCAGCTCCCAGGATATACAACAATCTTTTTTTTTTCATCTGTATACTGCATCTAACCAGGAGCTTTTATTCAATTCTGGTTCCTTCCAGAGATCTGGAAGGAAAACTAGTTTAATGAAATGTTACACAATGACAATGACATGCAAATAACATATAGAATATACTCTCTTTAACATTCTTATTTCATTCATGACTATTTTAATTATCTCTCCCCGTGCTCTCTGACATGTGTTGTAAAAGAACACCAAACACGAATGTGTTTCTGTCTACGTTGCCACACTTCCTCCTACAATCAAAACACTAACGTGTTAAAATTCAACATAACGAGACCTCTTAACACACCCTAATTTCAACTCTAAACCCTGAGGTACTATTCTAAAAGTGGCTAACTCTAAAGTGTAGCGTCAGAGAGCCTAAC